GATAGGGTCTCACTCTTGCTCAGGCTTCTCTGAAATAGTTTTTGAACATGGATGTCTTGTGTTCTCTAACTGTTTAGGAGACCTTGCAGGTGAAGCCACAGGCTTCTTCCAGGACACCCCCTCCCTGCCTTGACCAAGGAGTCTGTGTTAGTGTCTAGCCTCAGAAGGCCAGACTTCTCCAGAAGGTCCAGACTTGACCAAGGCTGTCTGTGTGGGGCCTCAGCAGGCCCTGGCTCCATCCTACCCACCCCCACCTGCATCTCACCTGCTTTTGTACTGAGCCCAACATGCGTCTCCATAGATCTCTTTTGTTGTAAGAGATGGGGTCTCACTCTATTGTCCAAGCTGGAGTACAGTAGTGTCATCATAGTTCATTATAGCCTCCAATTCCTACACTCAAGGAATCCTGGCTCAACCTCCTAAGTAGCACGGATCTAGAAATGGGAATGTGCCAACAGATAATGTTTAAAAAGTATTGTAGAGATGGGCTCTTGCTATGTTGCCCAGGCTGGTCTCAAACTCCTAGGCTCAAGTGATCCTCCCAGAGTGCTGAGGGCACTGTGCCTGGCCTCCTCTCAGATCTTATATTCACACTCACTTCTTCTTCCACTGGTCTCACATCAGGAATTCCCCACACCAGAGCTGTGTGAGAGGTACCCAAGGAAGGCATGTTGAGGGAGACTGGGCAGGTTGAGTTTAGGGGCCAGCAGAAGCAAGGTAGAAGGCATCTGATCCAAACCCAGAGCTCTCTCAGTGCTTCCTGCTCTCTCTGTCACCTCTGTAGGCCCAGGGTCCTTGCAGTGTGCACACTGCTTGTCTACAGGGAGATGTCCAGAGGATGCGACTGTGAAGGTCTGTCCCAAGGGGACCACACACTGCTATAAGGGAGAGCTCTTGGTCACAGGAGGTAAGCTGGACACCTGGGGACCCTGCAAGGGCTGAACAAGGAGGTCTAAGGACTGAGAACTGACTCTCTGGGGAGCTGAGGCATAGGGGGCCAGAGGGAGGTGGGCCTGGCTTTCAGGAGCAGCACCTCCATCTGAGGGTCTGATGGTCCTTGCAGCATCATCACTGTCTCTCCCTCTCTCCCCTTCCCCAGAGAACATCCTCACCCGGCTACAAGTCCAAGGTTGCATGTCCCAACCAGGCTGCAACCTGCTCAATGGGACCCAGGACATTGGGCCTGTGATGGTGAAGGAGAGCTGTGATTCCAGACGTGAGTCCCATGTCTAACAATGAGGCTGTGTCCTGCACCACAGCCCTGGGGCACAATGACCCTTGCTAGAGTATGGGCCAGCCAGAGGCATCCCACCAAAGCCAACAGCACTGAGTGATTTAGGTGTTTATTACTCACTCTGCCATGTGTAGAGTGAGGGGGTGTGGAGGGGGTCAGCAGGTTGTGTGCAGCTGAAAGAGAGAAAGACAGAGGGTTTGGCCCAAGGGACAGACTATAGGACAAGAGCCCACTGTTGGGAATTTTCCAGGATGCCAGGCTAAGGTAGGGCAGCCTGTCTGGGTGGGAGCGGAGGCAGATGAGGGTGCAGGGTGAGTTGACTTGCATATGACTTGATGTGTCAGGGATACTGGAGAACCTACTGCTTCTCATGGAGCCCTGACATTGGGCAGCCATGGGTCTCCCCTTCCCCTTGACCACTCCACCAACTACTGCCCCCAGTGACACCCCTTGTGGTACTAGAGCTGGGGAAGTTGGTCCCTCCCTGGGCAGTCGCCTCCTAGAGGCACACCACAGATCTTTGCTGGGCAGTGATCTCTGCCACACTCCTTGGCCAACTTATTTAGCTGCTCTGGTGCTCAATTTCTTTACCTATAAAACTGGGCTATTAATATTAATAGGACCTCCCTTAGTGGTGGTCAAGCTTATACAACCAAGGCCTAGAAAAGAACAGGGCTCAGAATGTGAACTATCTCCTTCACCTGCTGAGAACCTACTTAGGGATGTATAACTATCTTAAATCCTCACCACAACCCATGAGATGCGAGTACATCTACAGAAGGGGTTACTGGAGCTCTCAGAGGAGAGTCAATGCCCAAAGCCACACAATCACAAGCAACAGAGCCTGGCCTGGCAGCATCTGAGTTATGCAGACCAAGGACTGTCAGACTGTTAGCTCAGAGCCAATCGCTCCCCACCCGCACCCCAGGCTTTGCATTTGTGACTTGAATGCAGGACTCCCAGAAGGCTGCCTTGATATGCTTAGCTCTGCATCTCAATCTTTCTGCTCTCATCTGCTGTCATTCTCTGCCACTCTCCCTGTCACTACTGCAGTCCAGCCACCATCCTCAAACAAGCTAAGCTTGAGCCCACCTTAGGGCCTCTACACCTGCTCCTCCTCTGTCTGGAGCATGCTATCTGCATGTCTTTCTAGGCCTGGCTCTTTCATTCCATTGATCCCATGGCTAAAATGCCACGTCAGGCTGGCCCTTCCAGAACGCTAACTAAGCTGAAGCAGCCAGTTTGTTCACTAGTTTTCACTCTGTCCAGCACCCAGAAACAAGCTCATGTATTTGTTAAGTATGCGTCTGTCTTACTAAGCTGTGGGCTTCGGTCTAGGCAGCAGCCTCATTCTTATTTGTTTCCCTGTATCTGAGGCAACTAGGATGGTGCCTGGTACTTTTAAGGCAGCTTCAGTCAATATTAGTTGAGTACAACAGGACATGTAATTGAGTATCCATGACCTATTAGCTTCCTGGCCCTCCCTTCCCTCACCTCTTCCAGCAAGGATATGGCTTCAAGCCATGCCAATTCCAGAGGGTGCCACTCACACAGCAGTGGGAATCGCTGGGGAGGGCCCTGGTTTCCACAGTGCACAGCCTGTGCTACCTGAGGTGATGGCTCTGTTGCCATCTTTCCCTTTCTGTTCACTCATTTATTCAATCAATAAACATTTATTAAGCATCTACTCGCTGCCACAGAGGTGATGTAGACACAGTAGGAGATCAGACAAACATGTCCCCAGCAGGGTGGCGGATATGAAATTTTCAAACACACATAAAGATGCAATATGTAGAGATATCAAAAATAATTGCAAGTTAAATGTTCATTTCTCTTTCTCCACTATGCTGGCTCTCCCTGTCCTTCCTGTGCCTCTCCTCTCTCTGTCAGACACCTACCTTTACCCTCTGCAGTCACTGACAGACACCACTCATTCTTTCCTGTCTCCCTCCAACCAGTATCCTAGAGCTGGCTTGTATGGGCCTGTGAAAGGTGATGTTAAATAGCTCTGGATTGTTTGAACTGATTATTAATTAGTAGTTTGGTACTTTGAAAATTGATAGTTTGAAAATCAGACATGATAGGAATATTTACACCACAGAATTAGGTCAACAGTCTACTGGTTTTCTTGACCTTTTTCCCAAAAGCTGGTTTTCTAGCACAGCACTGTGCCCATCTGTTTCTAGCAAAAAAACTTTGCTTTGTCAAAATACTTTTTTTTTTTTTGAGACAGAGTCTTACTATGTCGCCCTTGGTAGAGTGCTATGGCATCACAGCTCACAGCAACCTCAAACTCTTGGGCTTAAGCAATTCTCTTGCATCAGCCTCCCTAGTAGTGCCCAGCTATTTTTGTGTTGCAGTTGTCATTGTTGTTTTAGCTCGCCTGGGCTGGGATAGAACCCACCAGCTCTGGTGTATGTGTCTAGTGCCCTAGCCGCTGAGCTACAGGTGCCGAGAGCAAAATACATGTTAATTGTTCAACCCATGTTGGGTTTCCACTCACACCCTTTCCCCATGCCATGTCTTCATTCTTTCCTGATGGCAAGGAAGTGGGGACCCAGGGCCTGTGCTGTGCTATGAGAGAATAGAGTATAAGAGGAGAGAAAGTGAGAGAAAGTCACAAAAGGGGAAATAACATGGAAAGAAAATTACAAAAGGAGAAATAAAAAGGGAAGGGAATAAAAAAAATAGGAAGGAAAGCGAAAGAACAGGGAAGGAGGAGGCCAGGGGCAGGAAGAATGTCGGGACCAGCCAATGCCCACTGAACAACGTTCTCACAGGCAGTTGGGCCATTTCCTCCCCTGAGGCCAAAAGGTGACCAGGGTGCTATGAGAGATGAGGAAACTGAAGCCACTCTGAAACAGGATTGGGGTGGGGGCCCACAGAGCTGGTTTAAGAGAAAAGAAGGCTGGGGATCCATATGAGGGAACTCTGTAGTCAGGGTGCTCTGTTTGAAATTGTGGGAAGAGCTGGAGCCTGGAATCCTCGGTCTGAGATAGAAGGGACCTGGGGACTCAGACTTCCAGGTGTGAGGGGAGAAAGGCTCAGGGGCTGGACCACTGGGTCTGAATGATGAGGAGCTGAGGGTCTGGATCCTTATGTCTGAGGGAGGAGGGACTGGGGTCTAGACCTCTGGATCTGAGGGAAGCGGGCCCCTCAGTCAGGCCCTTCAAGCACTTCAGACTGGGAGGGCACAGTCCAGGCCATCTTTGGCAAAGGCTTCCCCTCCCTACCCTCTTCCTTGGCTGCTGGGTCAGGGGAGGTATAAAGGTCCTGCTTCCTCGTAGAAAGAGCAGAAGGAAATTTTCTGTTGTAGAATGGTCATGAGCTCTGCCTGCCTGCTGGCCCTTCATGCTGCCACGTGAGTGAGGACCCAGACCTGGAAAAGACTTTCCTGGAGGACTAGCAGGAAATCTCCACTAAAATGGATTTGCTCTTCCCACCCCAGGACGGCAAGCCCTGTTCTGCCAGTTTGGGAGGTATAAGGAGGTGCACAATATATCCGAACTGCACCTCCAGTGGACAGTTAAGTCACAGAAAGAATGTGACAGAGGCTGGGGTTGCCACGACTCGCTGATGCTCATTCGGAATGGTGAGAAGGGGCCTGGCATGCAGAGCCCCACCTTTTCCCCCTACTGGGTCCCCAAGCCCACTTCCTGCCCATGAAACCCCTCAGGTGCCCAGAAACCTCCCACTTCTCACCCTAGGCCACCATGCAGCCTCTCTCCTCTAGTACCCTGGAGTCCTGATCCCCACCCAGCCTGACTCCCTCTCTCGGTCTGGTCCAGGACCATC